GGCTCCCAGGGCCACCTGAATGGGCCCAAGTTCACGTCTCACCTGCCCCGCCTGATGCATGACCTCGGGCAGCGGGTGGCCTCCTTCCAAAAGCAACGTGCCTAGGCCTTTGATATGCCTGACGGTCTTCACGCGAATGCCAAACTTATGAGAGGAAATGATTCCGGCGTCCTGGCGCATGGCCATCTGCTGCTTCGCCCCTGTAGAGCATCTCCGTATAATAGACAGCATGAGGAAAGTCTCAGACGCATTCAGGCTAAAACCTAAACGTGAGACAGCTTTGTAGACAACGTCCACAATAACCGAAGCTGTTCTGGGAACCCGTCGCGCATCGCCGGCAGCTCCAATGGGGGCGAGGTCATCCACAAGGGAGGTGGAGTGACATTGTCCTTCCCAATTATCGTGAGAAGCGAAGTGCAAATCTCTTTGCTCAGGGGTCCATATCAACTCGTGCTGGGCCATCTGCTGTTCGATTTCCACAACTCCGGGCACACGCGCAAGGTTAAGCCCATCCGTAGCAGGAACAGTCCCAGGACCAGTGCCGAGGATGGGCCGAGAACGAAGGGTGGTATTCCTAATGTTCCACCATCCTCCAGCCTGGGTCTCCCGAGTGAGCTCCAGGAGGTGACGACCCTTGATTTCTTTATCTAGTAACGGTTGGCAGCCCATGGCTCTTGCAGCAAAAAACATGGCCTCTGGCAGATCAACCGCGGCTAAGGCATGCTCAAGGTCGCTCTCTTCCCCTGGCAGCTGGAGAATGAACTGCCTAACCGCAGTGTAGAAGGCGGCAGTTCAATCTTAAAAGAGGCCGATCGCGCAAACTCCAGTTTTTGCCATGGCCAGAAACCTGCTCGAAACAAGACGAGCAGCAACGTCGCTGCTTCGTCCTTTGTGTCCTCCACGCTGTGCGTCACGCATGCACCTGCCCACTACTTGCAAGATCCGGCTTCTGGGGTACTTGTGGTGAAAATCGGCAAGCGCGCTGGCAAGCATAATGATTCTCTGCGTGATGGCCAGGCTCTGCTCCCACTTCCCCCCGTGAAAACTGACAACCTCTCCCTCCTTCATTCCGACCGCCCCCCTCCCCGAAGCGCTGGCCTTGAACAGGCTGGGCTGGTAAAGCCTAGCATGGCCAGCTGGAAAGTATGCATCATATCCTATCCGATGTGGGCCTCCAGCAGCGCTTCGCTGAACTCTCGCTGCAAGGCCTGCTTGGGCATTGTATTCTCGAGCTTCCGACTGCGCTCTCCTGGCACCGCCGAGCCTCGATTGTGGTGGATGTCAAAACCCCCCTTCTTGCTGGAAGGCTGCGCTTTTTCTATCCCCTCGAAATGTCGCTGCCAGTCATCGGCATATTCTTCGGGGGAAAGGAGATGCATGGAAAGAGAAGATACAAAGAGCTTCGCTCGTCTCTTGCCCCCCCCTGGAGCAGCAACCTCTTGACATGCTGCCGCCCTCTAGTCGGCGCGTTGCCGCCGACGCCAATAGTGATATCAGCCGCAATTCTCAAGGTGCTCGGCGTAGTCCCTATCGAGCCACTTAAAAATAACTTCCCTGGTCACGCTCAGGAAGCGCCCGAGCTCAAGAGCCCGCAGCTCGGGCCCCTCCTCCTCCCAAGAGAAAGCAGCCGCAGCTTTTTCGAGCCTCGCCCAGCTGTGATTAAGACCACCCCGGCACAACCCCATCCCAGTGCGACGCCCCCCCCCCCCTTTGCTTGGCTTAGTCTCCCCTTCTAAGGTTCTGAACGACAGAGAAGAGCCTATCAACGTCACCCTCGATGCCTCCTTTATGCCGGACGAAATGCAGCGCTTTTTCGATGTGACTTCCATTTCTGATGAGCCAGACGGTCCTAGCCAAGATATAAGGCCCCCATTGTGCCCCCTGGCCTCAGGGGGTCTGTCTAAAAAGCGTTCTTGGCCGCTTCCTGCGCGGCGCGATTGGCGTCGCAAAACTGATACTTCAAATCGGTGCTTCAATCTTGGAACGGAATGATGGCAACCTGCTGCTTACAAAACAACACGAGCTTCTCCCTGCTGCATCTGGTTGAGATCGAGACCGGCAACAGTCTTGGCCGCCCTGTTCGCTTGCTGTGTCCACCTCGAGCGCGCAATGACAGGGAAGTGATCTTGGGCTTGCCGAACAACATCAATCTGGTGGTCAACAGCGGCATCCGGCATCGCTTCAGAAATCTGCTCCGAAACCACCAGAACATCCATGCGGTGCCTCGTCCCCGTGAAATTCGAAACAGACGCGTGGTCATCTTCTCCTCCAAGAAACGTGCGATCGGCCATCAGGTTGGCCTCATTAAGCCATCCCGCCACCTTGAAACTCGTCGCCGAGCTCTGGCCAACAGTGCCTGTAACCCCAGCGGTGTTGGACCCTGGCCCCCCAAAAGATGGCAGCTGCCATCGTTAAAGCCGACGTCGGGCGGCCAGCCATCTGGCGGTCAGCTCTCTGAGGCTGTCCCAGGATGCTTCGCGGACACTGGCGGTGTTCCCGCTGTGAGGCGCATGAGCAACAACAAACGTGAGCCGCCCAGCCGTGGCCTCGAGCTTGCACGCCAGAATCCTCGGCGAGGCCGAAAGCACTCTATGTTGCTGCAGCTGGAAAAGGAGCGGCCCGTCGCGAATTCTTCCGCATGGAGTGCCCACGTTGAGCCACAGCTCGGCTCCGAGTGAATAGTTATCATTCCCCCCCGAGATGCAAACCCAGACCCCCGCCCGTCTCGCGCCTTGTTCGTTCCATCCTTCTCGGATACCTACCAAGTGAACCCTCTGTGGGAAAGCTGGGTGCGAAGCGCAGCTGCTCTCCGCGCTCGGTCCCGACCTTTTTTCTCCACATTCTATGGGCTTGTCTGGGAGAATGGGCACTATGGGTGGCAATTTTGAAATCGACTCCCGCCTGGATAGACATCGAGCTCGCAGGCGCGCTGGGCGGCTCGTGGTCCAAGCTGGCGTTGCACGTGGGCAGGGCGCCCTCAATCGCCAGCTCACTGCCTTTGAGACTGAAAGCTGGATAAGCATGCACATCACTGCCGAGCGCCCCTAAACCATTCCCAAACACGGGAGGGCCCAAAACCGACTGCCTGGAGTCAACTTCTGGGCAGGGGAAGGGGGGTCCCCGACGGACTGAAGCGCAGTTATGTTGGCGCAGCGATCCGCCAGAGTGTTCCAGGGTTGGCCGCGGTGGGCCCTGGCGCGGCTTATCTTGATATCCGAGGTGGCGGCCGCCATCGTCCACGCAGCTTCCACGTGCTGAGCAACGTGCGAGTCGGAGGCAGGGGCCCCCCTCCCCTGGGCGGCGCGGATTGTGGGCGTCGAATCGCTGCCAATGCTTATCGGACAACCTGGGTGTTCGGCCATCGCCCAGAACAGGCAATCTAAAATGGCCAGACATTCGGGCGCGGTGCTCGTCGAACTGGCAGGAAACAAGCCCGTGGCTTGGGTGCAGGCAAGCTCCCCCCTGAGAACTCCCCCATGCTCATGCTCCTCGCCCCTGACTATTGCCGCGATCGCTGCCCATGCCCCCGTTCCCTCCCCACAATGGTAGAGGGAGCCGTCCGTGCAAAAGTGGGTGGCCGTGATCTCGCCGGTCGTGCCAGCGCGGGGGCAAGCCCCCGGCACTGCCTCGGCCTCTGGCTCAAGGACTCCCGTCTGCAGAAGTTCTTGTAGATCATGATGCCGGAACTTGACCCTTATCCCTGGGACCCTGCCCCGAATGCAAGGCCATGCGTCCTCGACGATCCTGAACCTCCGATTGTCACTAGAGCTTCCCGTGACGGGGCCAAAGATGCTGCAACTGGTGGCCTCGCTCCGCTCATCCGCCGTCGCCGCCGAGGGTGGGGCAAGCAACCCCGATGTCTGCCCCTCTGCTGCTGCTCGCTCTCGGATTGCTTCCAAGCCAGTAGGTATACCCACTGCTCGAGATTCAGCTGACCTGGCATTGTTAGCATATTGAGACCTAACGGCTTCAGCGTGCGATGTTCGACACGCTGCTGACAGAAAATCACCTCTCTTCAAAATCGAGGCCGGCCTTGGGCCCCGAGGTTCCTGATCCCCCCGTGGATCCAGGGCCCTCCGGAATTAATTTTGCACTCCGAGAAACCTTCAGGCCTGCTCTCCTGCGCCCCCTAGCATCTCGATCTTGGCCATCTTCGGCGGCGGGGACCTGCCGTAGGAGTCCTGGGTGCTCGTCAGGTCGGCCGGCTCGTCCGTGGATGGGCCCGACGATCCGCTGGCTCCTGTCGATGCCCCAATCGCTGATCTCGAGCACGCTATATCTATCTTCTCGATCTCCCTCTTTACTTGTGAGCTCGTCATCCTTCCTTCTGTCACCGACGGTGGGTGACCATCGGCTCGGTGTGGCTGATCGGCCCATTCGGCACCTCCACCGTGGGTTTGACCATGAATACCCTCTCGCAGCGTGTTGGCGATGCTGTTCTGTATGCCCTCACAGGACTTGCTCTTGGCGAGGCGGGCTCCGTGGGCGAGCATGTTGGTCCGCCAGGTGTTGGCATTCCGTTGGTGGGTGTGCCTGGCGCTGGCGTCGCCGATGCTGGGGTTTGGGGTCTTGGGGTCTTCGGGGCAGGCACCTCCGCTGCCGCGGCTCGGGCGCCTGCCCCTGCAGGAAACCGCGCCGTCTTGGCCGTCCTGCTCATGTGATTTTGCTGCTGCATCCATCCCAATACAGACGTCATCATGTTATCCTGCTGCCCCTGTCTTCCTTGCATCGTCTTCAGGAAAACCAACAGCTCTGGCTGCATCATCAGTTGCTGCACAGGCTGCTGCTGCTGCTGCTGCGGTGGCTGTGCAGGAGGGGACTGCACCTGCTGGTCCATCATATGATGCTGTACCTGGTGCCGATTATGGTGCATCTGTTCGAAACTCAACTGGCCAGTGTACGTCTGCTGCTGCTGCGGCTGCTGCTGAGGCATGGGCTTTGGCGGCACCTGCAGCTGCAGATCCACAGCCATAGGCGCCAAGCGGTGCGCCAGGCAGCACCTCCTCTATCTCGTCGGGCATCTCCTTCAACTCGTTCATGCAGCTCTCCAAATGTGCGATCTCTGCTTCTATGTCTTGCTCTTGTATAACACGCTCCTTCTTTTGGTTCTGCGTCGCTGCCAATCTGTCCCTCGCTTTGTCGAGCTTCCAGTTCACCTCGCGCTTCTGGTCGCGCGCACGCTGGAGGCTGGCGAGGCGCTCTTCAACACCATCAACTCCATGTCGTGCCTCTCCGCATCCTCTATCTTGCTCGCCTTCCGCGCCAGGATCGACATGTTGGCAACCTTGTCCATGTGGCTCTGCAGGTCCAGGCGGAACGTCTCCTGATCCTGCTGCCTTGCTGGCGGTGCGCGGTACGCTGGGTGCGTCCTGGCCGCCCTGTGGAGCATCGGGGGCAGCCTCTTGATGTGCCTCACCACCTGCCCGTCGTCCTGGCGTCCCCTGCTTGCCGACATCGCCGTTCTCAGTGGTCGATTGTCTCTGTAGTGTTGACCGCACAAGCACCTGTTGTGCCAGTTCTTCACGTCCCTGTTGCATTTGCCGCGCTTCCAGGTGTTGTAGGTCATCGAGCTGGGGTGACGAGCCAATGTCTCCCTCGCAGCGTCCAGCGCCACCAGCCGCTTCGCTTGATGCCGTTTTTGCCGTTCCCGCCTGTGCCACGCCTGCTCGCGCGGCCAGCAGGAGAGAGAAGAAACAAATATGATCCTCGGCGTCGCGGTGCTCAGTCGAGCACGCGAAGAGGGGCTGGCCTAAGGCAGCAGGTTACAGGATCCGATGTGCCTTGCGGGATATCAGGCCAAACCTCGCTGCCTCCATCCTCGTCCCCCTCCTCCTCCTCCTCCTCCTCCTCCTCCTCCTCCTCCTCCTTCTCTCTCTCCTCCTCCTCCCTCCTCCTCCTCCTCCTCCTCCTCCTCCTCCTCCTCCTCCTCTCCCTCCTCAGTCCTTACCTCCTCCTCCTTCTCTCTCCTCCTCCTCCTCCTCCCTCCTCCTCCTCCTCCTCCTCCTCCTCCTCTCCTCCTCCCCTCTCCTCCTCCTCCTCCTCTCCTCCTCCTCCTCCTCCTCCCTCCCTCCTCCTAACTCCTCCTCCTCCTCCTCCTCCTCCACCTCCTCCTCCCTCCTCCTCCCTCCCCTCCCCTCCTCCTCCTCCTTCTCCTTCTCCTCTCTCCGTCCTCTTCTCGATGTCAGTGCCCTCCTCCGCTTGCCCGGACGCCGCGAAGTGAACAAACAGTGCGGCAGCATGGCAACTTCCCTTGGCCCGTCTCGGGCCCAAGGTCCTCACAGATCGGCCCGGCAAGGCATATCGCGAGACAAACCAGAGCCGAGAATTCCAATCGTGATGTGCACAACGTGCTCAGCCGACAAGCCGTAGGCACTGCGTGGGGTGTCATCAACTCCCTTCGGGTTCTCTGGTATTCAGAACTCTTGAGGGGACCCAGGGGCCCAAATGCTATGGATTCCTCGGGTGTGCCCCTAAACTTTTCCCAAGACGGCCCACCACGGCGCCAAGAGGGCCCCAAGAAGGCCCACAAAGGCACCCAATCGGCGGTCCAAGAGGGCCCAAAGACGGCCCAATAGAGGTTCAAGACAGCTCAAAGGGGCCCCCCAAGACGCCCGACGAGAGCCTCAAGACTCTCGGGCCACTCTTGAAAGGACCCCCAAGAGGGCCTCCATGCCAGACGCCAAGAGACGTCGAAGAGGCCTCTAGTCCAACCCCCATGCATGGTGGCGGGTTGGGCCAGGGGTCACTACAACAGAGTGAGGGGGCCGAACGGTCTTACATTGTTGCAGGGTGACGTGGTTAAAATGGGTCCTCGTGGTGCCGAGTTTTGTCGTGCTGTGTCGTGTTGTGTCGTCGTATTTTTATTGTCGACGAGTAAAAACAGCTGATCCCCCCCATCGGTTCCCAATTAATGTTTCAATTGAAACGCCACCCCTGGGGCTCGTACCCTCTTTTCTGTCAGGGCAATCCTTCCTGCTCAAACTTCGCCCCTGGCCCCCGCGCTAAAATAACAACGGCTCGGGCCGAGAAATTCCTCACGGACGATTCAGGGATCGCGCTCTCGCTCGGGGAGTCCCGCGCGCATTACCTATTAATGGCCCTCTCGCCCGGAACTTTATTGCAATATATCCAGGCGCTGCGTTCTCGGCCCCCAAGAGTCGCGCTCTCGTACGAGACCTCCTGGCAATGTACGCAGGAATCGCGTTTTCACCGTATGGACGGGTTGGACGCCTGGGACGGGTCAGAGCGCAAAGGGCGCTTCGAAGCTTAATGCAATGCTGCATGAACTACGTCGCTACTCCAGAACACTCAATTGAACTCTCACGGGGAAATGAAGTGCACGTCGCCATTCGTCATTGGGGCCTCTCCAGACCAACTCTCTGGTTTGAATGTACCATGTGGCGCATACCGCTCCGTGTGAGGAGACCGTCGCTTTCAAATGATAACCGTACGGCGCTCATACGAAATGCGTGCGGCCTTGGGAAATTGCTTGTGTGTTTGTGAAATGACGGCCGCATGGCTCTCATACGGCAACCGCGTTCTGTGCGAACCGCATGCCTCCCGCATGAGCGCCGCACACATCCCATATGACGTATACGATTGAAAATAAACTGGGCATGGCATTCATGTGGCTTCGGTATCTGCACACGGGAACTGCATGCCTTCGTGACGACCGGCTGGTTTTAAAGTGGGAGTCCACTGGTTTCTGATGGAAATGGCGTTGGCTTCATGTGTGCACCGAATGACGCCATGATGTGAGCATCGAACGGGAATCGCGTGTTCCGTGTACTCCTACGCGAACCTTGTGGCGTACAGCTGAAGGGCCCGAGCGGTCTAAAACCGTCCTTGTGCGGGTGCCTAAGATCGGCCTCCGCGGTGCGGTTTCTCGGTGTAGTCGTGCTCTGGTTGTCGTTCTTGTCGTCGTCCTTATCTAACCGCGACCCATCCTCGACCCAACCGCAATGCTTTGACGGAACTGCGGAGCCTGCGTTGGGCCTGTCCTGTGATGTGTAGCCAAATGGCGCTACCCCAGTCAGGGGAACCCTTGCCAAGTAGATAACTAAGCAAGGGAGGCACTGCTTCTCATTGTCGGGCATTGCTTTGCTGTGCTTAGCAGGGCCTGCCATTGCCTGGTATTGCCTAGCATTGCCGAGCATGGCCTATTGCTTTGCATCTTCTGGCATCGCCTGACATTGTTTGGCGGTGCTGGGCGTTGCTTGGCGTTGTTTGGCGTTGCTTGGCGCTGCTTGGCACTGCTTGGCATTACTGGGCATTGCGTGGCTATGCTTCGTATTGTTGGGCGTTCCTTGTGCTTGGGGTGGTCTGGCGTTGCTCGGCATTTCCTGGCATTGCTTGGCGCTGCTTGCCATCGATTGGCTTCGCTTGGCATTGCTTCGCGTTGCTGGGCGTTCCTTGGCAGTGCTGAGGGTTTCCTTGCGTTGCCTGGAGTTGCTTGGCGTTTCCTCGCAATGGTAGACAGCAGCGCCGAGGAACCCAGGCACCGCCTCTCCAAAAACAGACAGGGGACAAGACCAAGGAGCCCAGGCAAGGCTTCTTCTACAACATGTGAGAGAAACAAAACCAAGGATTCGGAGCAAGGTCTCTTCAACACACAATAGAAAAACACCAAGGCACATGGGCAAGGCCTTCCCAAACACAGCATGGGTGCGATGATGATGATGATGATGCTGATGATGAGGATCATGCTCATGCTCATGTTCATGCTCATGATCATGATGATGATCATCATCATCATCATCATCAGCATCATCATCATCATCAGCATCATCATCAGCGCCATCATGACCAAGAAGCCCAGGTTAGGCCTCTTCAGAACAGACCGAGGAAACGAGACAAGAGAGCCTGGGCCAGGCGCGCCTGCGCATGCTGGGCACCCACGGGCCATTGAAAACCCACCCAGAACGCCTCAGGGAATCCTTCGGGGGGAAAGATCTGCGCCTGCGGCGAGCTTTTCATGAGGTGAACAACTATCGTGTTGGGAGGCAGGGGCCTGGGGGGTGAAGGGTCTGAGCAGTAGCATCCGGATGCAACGAGCGATGCCCTCGGCCGCCTACGGGGAGGGACATCCTCAGCTCTCCCAAGCCCATGCTCCCCACCCGATGATTGTCTCCCTGATTCTTCGAATATGAAACAGGGCTAGGATCGGGATAAAAATCGCTCCAGAGCGTTCCGGAGCGCTCTCAGAGCGTTCCGGGACGCTCTGGAGCGGCCGCGGCGCCCAATACATCCTCCAAACCTGCCGATTCTCAGAGATTTCGAGTTATCCCGATCCGATTTTGTCCCGATTTTCGCGTCGCTTTATGCTTCCAATCCTATAATTGTCTCCCTGATTCTTCGAATGCGCCGCCGGGCCTCACAGACAGCCAGCAGCCCCACCGCCCCCTCATTCTCATCCGCAGCTGCGGGGGCTGCAGCAACGAGCTTCGCCGAGCACGTCGCGGCGTCGGCCCCCGCGACGCGCTGCGCCGTGCAAGCGGATACAGTCGGGGCGTGGACCGAAGGAACCCTAAGTAAGGAACGGGGCCCCAAAATTCCATAAGTTGAACTTCGATTTCCCATCGAAAACATAAGGAAACCCTGAGGCAAGCTGTGAAACACTGAAGGAACGCGGAGCCCCTCCCCAACGAAAATGGTTCCTTCTTCAGGGCCCCGACTGTACAGTCGGGGCGTTGACCCAAGGAAACCTAAAGAAGGAGCGGGGCCCCTTTCTCCCATAGGTTGAACTTCGATTTTCCATGGAAGACCGCGAAACACCGGAGGCAAACTGCAGAACAGTCAAGGAACACCGAGCCCCTCCCCAACGAAAAGGGTTCCTTCTTCAGGGCCCCGACTGTTGCGTGTCGCCCGGTTCCGCACGGCGCGGGGCTGGGAACAACTCGGGAAGTTCACACTTGTGTAGGGGGACGAGGATAGCGTGCCGCCCCGAAGCATGGTTGGCAAGGGCCAGTGGAGCGACACGCGCAGCGAAACGTCCTGACCGTAGGGTATATGATCCTCCTCCTCCTCCTCCTCCTCCTCCTCCTCCTCCTCCTCCTCCTCCTCCTCCTCCTCCTCCTCCTCCTCCTCTCCTCCTTGTTAAGAAAAACCTGGTAGCACAGAAACTCTGGAAGTCGCACACGGTGTACGGTGTCACATACGACGGCCTTCTTCCTCCTCCTCCTCCTCCGCCTGCTGCTGCTGCTGCTGCTCCCCCTCCTCCACCTCCTCCTCCTCCTCCTCATCATCATCATCATCCTCATCAAACCCATCCTCCCAGTAATCCTCATCATTCTCAGAAGGACTCTCCAAGCATAGAGACACGGGGTGTCACACGCGATGGCATCCTGTACCACCTCGAACAGTGCAGCCGCCAACCAACATGCTGGGCTGGCACGGTGGCGGGACTTGCCGCAAGCAACTGGATATCATTTTCCTCCCCTCCTCCAGGGAAACTCGCAGGTACCAATACCGCCCTTCCCCTGACCTCTCCGACGTTGCTTTCTGACCAGAATGTCGAGGCGAATCCGGTGGCGACGAGGGCCTCCCAGGAGGCCCACGAAGGTGAAAACGAGGGAAGGGTAGCGGTACGGCAAGACGAAGCCAGGACGAGGACATATTCGGGTGAGGATAAATCGGGAATCTCGCATGATGGCTCGGGCGCCACGGCCTTCTCGGAGGTTCCTGGAGCGCTCTGAGAGCGTTCCAGGAGCGTTCTGGAACGGATTTTTCCTTGCCCTAACCCCGCCCAGCGGGCACCTCTTCCTCCCCCCTCCTCCCCCTGGAGCTCCGGATCGAAGCTTTGGAAGTCGCCCACGGTGTAGCTGTAGCCATCCGAGGCGAGGCGCCGCTCCTTCTCTTTAGCGCGAACTAATTGGGGGGCGACAGTAGCTGGGGGGGGATATAAGTTGGCCGCGCAGTTCGTCTCTGAAGCCGCCATGCAAAATTGCATCGGCAATTGAGCCTAACTGGCGCCGTGCCGCTGCGAATTCTGCGTTCGACGCTGCCAGAGCATGGCTTGAACCTTGGCCCCTGTCTTGTACTGTGCGACACCCGTGGGTTATTTTTCCTCGCAGTGCCTGTGCCCACGCGCCGGACGGCTTCTGGCTCCTCTGTCCTCCTCCTCCTCCGCCTCCTCCTTCCCTCCTCCCCCTCCTCCTCCTCCTCCTCCTCCTCCTCCTCCCCCCTCCTCCCCTCCTCCTCCTCCCCATCCTCCTCCTCCTCCTCCTCCTCGTCCTCCTCCTCCTCCTCCTCCTCCTCTTGCTCCTCCTCCTCCTCCTCCTCTTGCTCCTCCTCTTGCCCCCCCTCCTCCTCCTGCTCCTCCTCCTCTTCCTCCTCCTCCTCCTCGCGCGTCGCCGCGGGCAACGTCTCTCCTCACCGCGCTTGCGCCCCCGCGCGCGCACTACCACCTCGGGCGCCAGCTCGACGCACCAGGACTGCCTTTATGGCAGGGAAGGTGGATTCACCTGCCTCCCACGAGACGGGAGGTTCAAATGCTTGAAGCCGGATGAAAAGAAGATAAGAGGCAATGGGCAACAGGGGAGACGAGTCAGAGGGAGCAATGAGGCCGAGGCGACGGATGGGGCAGGCGGGAATGGAATCAAGACGCAACAACGTGGTGACAAGACCCCACAGCCGTGGGCACGCCCAATAGTGGGTGAAGCAGTCAGGTGCATTCATACATCCTAGCATACACTGTTTCAAATTATCGTCGTGCATTCGGAAACTGGTTATCCACGCGCCAGAGAAGGTCCGCCATGCGGCATTTCTCAGGGCAGGCGGGAACTTTGCAACTTCAGCTTGCACGGAGCTCCAGCAAATTCCCTGAATCAGGCGTTTTTGGGCAGGGTGGTACCTGCACAGGCGGGAACTCCAGTCCCGAACGAGGCTCCCAAGGAAAAGGACGCCCGAAAATGTTTTGTGCAGAGCTCCTTGGATCTTAAACTTCGGGGAAGGGTGCAACTGCTCTCGCCGTTCTTGCTGCAATCTGCTCAAGGTTTGAAGCGTGGCCGCACCAGCAGCTCTATACTCGGGAACCGTGAAAAATCCGTTGGCAGCCAAACTTAGCTGCTCGGCAAACGCGGGAGCTTTCCAGAAGCTCGGATATCGTTTCTTCAGACCGATGTCTTGGAGAGAAAGGCACCTCTCAGCTTCCCTCTACAACATGCTAAGCAGGGGCCTCCACTCTGGGAGGGTCGTCACTGCAGATCGCATTACAGTGGCAGCACACATTGATTCTATACTATCGATTTTGGGCCCTCCCCAGGACCTGAGTTCAACAAGCGAGGCCAGGGACAAGGCACAGTTCGGGAGAGCAAAAACAGAGGCCCGGGACGCGTGCTCAAGGCGTCGCAGAGAGGGAATGCCAGGGAGCTGGAGGGGGAGCTGGGCGAACTGGGCAACATATGAGAGCGTGCTTATGGCCCTCTTATTATATAGGTGTTCGGCTACTCCTGTCGGGCATCGCTCACGAGCAATCCGCGCAGCTCGGGTGGGCCATTTCTGGATGGGCTGGATCCAAGCCTCACACGAAGCCGCGGGGCCGAGGATGAGGCCGAGATACTCCACCATCTCAACAATATTAAAATCAGCCCACTCGGGAATGTTATTACACAGCCAGGATCTATACAACTGGGCACGGAATTCGTCGAAGGGTCCTGAGAGCGGAACTATATAGCATTTACTACTCTTGAGCTTCAGATGAGCGAGTTCGCGACTGTGATCGAACACCTGCTTTAACTGCTTCAGCTGCTTGATCTCGGCTACTACTGCTCCCACATCGTCTGCACAAGCTTTCGCTGCCGAAATCTGTCGCCTTCTTCTCCCGTGTGACTCATCTCGGTTGAGCAGCTCTCGGAATTCTGCCATGAAGGGATGACTACACATGGCATAGATTGCTCCTGATGCTGGGCAGCCTTGCAGGATCCCGCTGAGGACCTCGAAGAGGAAAAGAGTGGTCTGCTGATGCACTCCGAAGCACAGCACGTTCTGGTATATGTATTTCATGAACACGAGCATCGGCGGCGGCAATCGAATGTACTCCGGTACTCGGAAGATCCATACACGCGCTACCGACGGGAAGGCCTGACCGAAATCAAAGGTACATAATGCTGGCAGGGATAAGGCTGCGGACGGTTGCATGCTCACCATTCGTGCTGGTACATCTAAGTCTATGATGTTCACCCCGAAGTTGCGACCCTGGGCGAACCCCCTCTGCTCGCAGTCAATGAACTCCCCGAGACGACGAGCGAGATGCCGAACGACGACGCCCGTCAGGATCTTGTTGCTAGTTTGTTTGAGTCCTAAAGGTCGTGTTTCCCCAGCTCCACGAATCACCTCCTCCTCATCTCCTTCTTTGGACCCCTTGGCTAAAAACGCCCCACGTATAAAATTGAATTCAGGAAGTAGGCTGCCTCCTCCCAAGATCCACCACAGAGCACGATCCAAGACCAAGACTCCCACAGGATTGAACCTCCAAGCTCGCTAAGAGAGCCCATCGGGCCCAGGAGCGCTATCGTGTACACGTTCCAGCTGCCGTGCGATGTTCGCTTGTGTGGGGGGTGGGAGATCATGCAGGTTAACCTTCGGGCCGTACTTCTCGAGATACTGATCTATGGCATTGAGGTCAGACTTTTCCCTCTCGCCGAAGACTGCGCCCCAGTGCTGCCCGAGCAGCTGCAGGACTTCGACAGGCTCGCGCACGACGGCCCCACCGTCCACACAGATGCCTTTGAGCAACATCCGCCGCCAAACCGGCGCCCACAGTCGGCCGCGGATCACCTGACCTTTGAGACGACGACGAAGTGTGGCTCTTGTGCTTTCACTTTCTGTGCTTTGAATGCTGTTTCTTGTCTTGGCTTGCTCATGTTGGTCCATGGCTCGGTGAATCTGGTCAGTGATCTCGGCGAATTCGTTTGCATTCGCGAGCGTGGCGGTCCGCTCCAGTACATCGATGCTGAGGAACCGCCTGCCTAAACTACTGCTCGCTCTGATCGTCTCTCCTAATCTGATGTCTTGTCTCCAAACAGCTCTGGCAATAGATTTCACAGTAATGAACCTCGAGAAGAGACTATCTGGCGAGGATCTCAGCATAGTGCTCCTGGCTATCTTCGCGGCCTCCTGCATCATTCTCGTGGCGAAATCGAGGGCGAGGGGCGGGGTGAGCGAGTCGATGTCGCAAATCTCTGAAATCTTCTGGAGAACCTCGGAGTATTTCGGGTGAAGGAAAACCTCAGAAGGGATACTGAAATACCTCCGATCTGAACTTGCAGGACGGCCGTAAAACAGCGATACTTGCACGGGAGCGTGGTCACTACCCCCCCGTCTGAAGAGAGCCTCGGGAAGGTCAAGCACCTCGCCCGACACGCAGAGCTGGTTCAAGATCCAGCCCCTGAAACTCACAAACTGCCTATCTACCGAGGTGAGTAGCCGATGCTGCGCGTTGTAGTGAGTCGGGTCGGAAACCTGGAGTTCGGTCATCTTCCCGAGGGCTTTCATGGCAATCGGGTCCTGGCCACGCCTGTATTCCTTCACAAAGTTCACCTTCGGGACCTGGGGCCGATTTTGTCCTGGGGTTCTCTGCGCATCCACTACGTCCTCTTGACAGGGTAGCTGGTCGGCGAAGTTAAAGTCGCCAGCGACAACGACGAGCATGGTTCCTGGCGAAACCGTGGCTTGTGAACGATCATCTAGGATACTGTCTGTAATCTGTTGTCTAGCTTCTCGTGTTAGCTTGAAGTTGTGAATGTTGTAATGGCTAATCCAGACGTCCCTGCTGAAAACAATCCTGAGATTGAGTGCCCTGCCAGGAACCAAAACTCTGGGCTCAACCACTGGAGCCTTCGGGCCAAGGAACGCGAAGTTCGGGAAGAACGTCACCACTCCTCCAGCCTGGGAAGACGGGCAAAAACTCGGTGCTGCCAGCACCTCCTTTTGGTAGTGATAGAAGACCTCTTGGATCTCCATCTCTGACCCGTGACTCTCCTGCACAGCTAGGATTGACCCAGGGACCAGAAGCCTCCTTAGCGTACGAAGTTTCTTGTCTCGCATGTTGGGGTCAAAGTGAAAAAGGGCTCTTGAGTTCCAGGTAGTCAGAGATAGCTTCCAATTCTTCATCTGTCGGCCCTTCCAGGCCGAGAAAAGACGCTGGCTAAAGACACCACTCAGTTGCCACCGTCTCGTTGGCGAGGACGCGGTCGAGCGCGAGGCGCAAGCTGTTGATGTCCACCCCGAGCGCCTGCAGGTTCGCGGCGGCGAAGCGCACGACTGGTGGGTCATCTCCTGGGCGAGCCTCCACCTTGAGTATCGGCTTCCACATATGGCTAAGTTCTCCTTTGTTTTTGTCTCCAAAGACTTTGATGTTGGGATAGAGCTGAGTGAACGTGAGCCTGGCTTTTTTGAGTGCCAATTCCCTGCGCACCATGCAGCTGTTTTTGTCCCCCGAGATGAAGAGCTCGGAGTGTTGTCCGTCCACGTCGAGAGCTGCAAATCTTTCATACTGCCCATCTGTCCGCTTGAGGCTCGACATACATTGTGCCACCTTGCGTTCAGCGTAGCTACGGCTGCCTCCAATTCTGATCGAGAACTTCTTACTGGCGGGGCCCCCCTCGATAACAAAGTCAGATTCCGCGAGATTGTTCCGCTCGAGCCAGGGCTTGAGCGCATTGAGCATATTTTGCTTCGGAATAACGCTGCGTGATCTGATGGCCAAAATGGATGGGTCGATCTCGCGGTTGAACGACTGGTCGATCGGTTTCGGCGTGGGTCTCTCTGACTGGATATCACCGAGGAGGGTTTGGAGCCTTGAGATTTGCATCTTGAGGCTGTTGATCTCTGACGTGTGCTGGTTGACCG